GGGCGCTCAAGCCACTGCTACGCCCTAAGCCGTGGGAGCTAATATATGATTCTGCCTGCGATGGTATGTGCCTCAGCGCGCTTTATGCAAATGCCGGCGCTGCCAAAAGTAGCCAGGCTCAACTTATAGTCTGTCGTGATGACCATGGACATGTCGCTGGAGCGTTCCTCGACGAGCCCATCCGCAACGCTTGTCGCTGAGTGTAACGATGATATATCACAGATACAGTATTCCCCTCTTTCATAGGTCGGTAATTACTTTGGCACAGGTGAATGTTTTGTCTTCACTGTTGCTGGAAAGAGCGGACCGGCGGCGGCCGAGGCTGACGTCTTGCCTGATCCGGACATGGCCATCTACCGTTGGGTGGGCCCGACTGAATCTATTCCCGCAAGCGCTCTTGCCTCGACGCGTGGAGATCTAATATCCGAGCCACGACCTTTCGTTAACGATATGTTTGTGTACACAACTCACGAAGTTCTCGGATTTGGCTCGGGTGGTGGCGGCTTCGCATTGCGACTTGATGAGGCCATCGAGTAAGAAGCGCCGCGTATAAATTTGCGGTTACCAATCGATATCGCAAGTTGACACGTTCCCCAGGTTCGGGGCCTCACGACCCTGCGCTACCTATGGCAATCCCGTTTCTCTTTTTGGAGGCAGGGAGAATTTTCCCATAGAGCGAGTCCAAATCTGGCACTTTGCCGCACAGTTTTGATTTGAGAATCTAGTCGCCGACTACAGAAGAGCTGAAGAAGAGTGCATAAGAAAAGATGACTCCAGTGCAGCGAGACAAATTCGGCGAGAGAACCTGCCTGAGCTCTACACTTCCGCGATGGAATTTGTCCGCAGCGTGTGACTTGTGTGATACCCAGGTCTTGGAGAGAAGGCGAATCGGCCCCATTCACGGTCGTGTTCTGAAGCATACTGCCCTAGCGTACTACCCTCAGCTAGTTTTGCGCTCCAGGACTCGGACTCGGGGCCCGCGCGAGTGAAGCTCGTGATATGCGAGGTTCGGCTGTCCAGGGTGCCAAAGTTGCACCCCACGTAGCGGCGCGCACGCCGTGGTACTGCACCTGTTCAGGTTCATACTCATGCTCGTGCGCGGAGAGCGAGGGCGGTAAAAGGGGCTGCAGGTTCATACTCATGCTCGTGCGCGGAGAGCGAGGGCGGTAAAAGGGGCTGCTGTCCATTCTCGGCGAGCACACTGGAACTTACGACCCACGAGGTTATCCCAAATGGGATGTCAGGATGATAGATAAAAACTGAATTACATATTTCTTGCCGATAGGGCTCGTTCTTCGCGCAGCGAAGTGTCACCCCGACCGGTCGACGGTGGGATGAGCTGGCTGGGGCGTCCGGGTCGACCCGAGTTTCGCCTTGAGCGCGGTGACGAGTCTCTCCACCCCCTCTGCTTGTACGCGGGACCCAGCGCTTTCCCTCCCCGTTGATCCTATTGGGGGCTCGTTGAGGAACGCTGGTAGAGAGATAGAGAGTTTTTGTATCTCCTTAGTGGCTCGCTGGTACAGAGCCACCCAATTTCCTTCCCCTCCTTAATACTTTCTAACCCTGTTATAGTTGCTTCCCGCACTGTAATAGACGGAGAGTCTTCCTGGACCTAGTGAGGCAGATCCTCTGCCCGTTCGTCCAGTAGCCCCAGCCCCCGTATACTACGGCAGCTGAGGTGACGTGAGGATAACAGAGACGCCGGTGTACCGCCACTGCGTAACCACGATAGTTCACCCTCACACGGCAGGGCAGCCCCACTAGGCTGCCTCCCCGTGTCGGAGTTTACTATGCTCCTAAGACTGGTCGGCAACCTATGGCCGCAACAGCCACACTACTGGAGCAGAACCTGCAGTTGCGCCCTGCACCCGCTCCGAGAAGGAGCTCTAGGATTGAGGGTCTACCGCCTCAGAACTTTAAGGAGCCAGATGGTCGGAAAAACCCAGGCGTCGGCGGGGCAGATCACGTCCCTCCTGCAGGCCCACCCGCTCCGCGTGGACAACAGACCAACGCTGTTAGACTGGTTCAGTCCTTGGCAAGGCTAGGAGACGCCTCAGCCGAAATAACAGCTGCAGCGAACAGTCAAGTGGAGAAGCTTATGGGCGGAATTACGAAGCGGGGCGGTAGCAAGTCTCTGTCCGACCCGTTGATGATAAGTAGGTTTGAAGAGCTGAGAGTTTGCATGCTGACCTATTGCGGTAACAATAGTCGCATTTCCATAGCTGCGAACGCCGGTGCGAACCGTTTTGGGGTTATCCACAACTTGTGGGATGACGTCACGAGTCTGGACCTTACGGTCAAACCAAAACTGACGCAGAGCTGCGGCCGCCGGCCGACGGACCCCAGGGAACCCACGACGTCCCCTCGACGTCCCCGACAATTTGGGGTCGGCGGCTGGGGGCTTTACTCAGGCGCCGGGGGCGCGGGTGGGGTATAAACTAGGACGCGTCGTTCTTCGCGCGTTCGCCTGGGCCACGTTAATAGCGCCGTTAATCATGCGTGATAAACGCGTGATTTGGCGCCAAGTACCCAGGCGCGCCCAGAAGGGGCCGCGTCGAATTTCCCGCTTGCACCACCGACCAATGCAACGTAGGATTCAGCAATGATATACCCGCGGTCCGTATGCTAATGAGCTTGCGGAGTAACTAAGAATCATCTTGCTCATCTTCATCATCATCTCCATCTTGCTCTGCATTCTCTGCAGCGAGACGGTCCATCATAGCTTGAAGCTCCGTTTCCTCTCGTGCAGAGACAGCCTTAGGCGCCATCTTGACGTCAATTTTTCCACCCTTGATTAAAATCATATCCGCAACAGCAGCGATGGCCGCAGTGAGGGTTTGAATGCCAAGGTCCTTATCAAGGGTCATAGTTGTCATGACATACATAGGTGGAGCAATAAGCTTGATCTGGATTGGGCAATCATCTATTGAAGCCTCTTGGCCCTTTAAGAGAGCCTCACGAATTGCATTTATTCCTTCGTAGGTGAAGCAAGTAACCTCGATGTCCGCACGGACCTTAATTGGCTGCGGTGAGAGTTTCTTCTTCACATAGTCTGTGAGACAAGCCTTGGTCTCAGTGTCCATGCCAGGACATGCCTCAAAGACGTCTTCGGTCTCACCGCTCAGGCATAGCTTGAAAGCGTCATAGGCATGCCCGTACTTCTTGTATAATGGCCAACCTACTATCTGGTAAAGCTCCTCCAGAGTCTGCCCACATCGGTCTGCCACGTGTCGCATGACCCGATGCACCGCTTTCGCCTTGTTGTAACGCCTATACAAAACTGGGTAAGTTTCACAGGGATGGTGAGAAGTCAACACCGGAATATTGCTCTTCACATTTTGCCACGTCTTCTGCAGACACACGTCGCTTTGACAAATCAATGTAACCCTTCTCTTTATCAACGCGTAGAACCATCACCACTTCGTTTCGATTCACGCGGATCAACTTGTTGATACTTCGGATCCGCCGCCGACTCAGCTCACTCAACAAGATCATGCCCTCGATGTTGTTATATTCCAGCAAGGTCACGTAGGCTCCCATCTCCGCGATGTTCCTCACATTAACCATCACCAGCGATTCCAGCTCAGGAAAGGGCTCCTCATAGAACCGGCATTCAAGTCGCTTCGAGTCGCTAAACGATGTCATGTCCAGCGATATCCGGCCCCCACTACATGTATGCAAGCACAGGCCTCTTCCCGGGGCTCCAGTGCACTGGGAGGCCATTCCCAAGGACAAAAACAACCATAGGGCTAGAGCGCCCCATAGAAGTATTTATTTATTATTTGTGGCCGCCGGCCGTAGTATGTCATAGAGGTCCTCCGTCGACCGCGCGCGCGCAGGTCGACCACCGGACGGAAATCGTGGCAAAATTGTTGAATTATGCCCCCGCCAAGCCGGCCCATCAGAATAGCGCGCTAATCGTAGTGCTTCGCACACACGCCACAATCAAACTCCAAAATCACGGGATATCCTTATTTTCTACGGGATTTCAAAACTACTACCAAAAAGGGAGTTATTATTATTAATGGGATAACAAAGTATAATTGCGGGATAGCATTGGAGTTATACGGGATAACAATTCTACGGTGGGGAAATATGCGGGATATCAAATGATACCAAAAAGGGAGTCCTAAATGCGGGATACCTATAGGTATCTTGCGGGATATCTATAATATCCTGCGGGATACCTATAGCATCTGGGAAGGTCTCCTTAGCATGCTGGAAGTTGTTCCCTATTTCAATGAATGACACCGACTTTGATGGGCATGTTTTTGAAACCGTCTGTGCCTTCTGTGCAGGGGCCTGGGCCAATAAGGCACACGCGGACTATTGCTAGCGGAAACAGACTAAGGGCAGTCTAAGTGGGTGGGTAACTCCGGTAATGCCCGGCCCTAGGAGCTCCGTTCAGCCGACTCGGAAGCGCGAATTAAAAACGCACCACTCGGGGGGGGCGGCTGTGAACGGAGCCGGCGAACGGTGAGTGCTAAAAGGATCCGATGGCGAATCACTGCTCGGACGTATATCTTCGCAGCGCTCGCAGATGGGCGGGCAGGGCAGCGGGGATCGAAAAAGGTCCTCCCAGGCCCTGTCGGGTCGGGGGGAAAGAATCTCCCAGGCCTGGGTGGTCACTACCCCTCAGCCTCGATTTCCACTCTGCCATAGGTGTTCTTATGGCAGTGGCGCGGACAGGTTTGCCTAGCGCACTGATATAGCTGGCTAAGTTTCACTCTGCTCGTCCCTGTGGTGTTGGCACTGCTGCTACATGAGAGAGTCGGCGGGCAGTGATAATAATCTGTGCTGCTGCTTTGAATTTGCGTCGTCCGTTGAAGTCTTTGAGTTGTCGCACTGTCTTCTCGAGATGGATTTTTAAGAGTTCATGATCTCCCTTGATGAGCCAAGGATGAAGCATGGCTTGTTGTGCGGTGAGGCGCTGGTCAGAGTCCCTATTTAGAAGCTTGCGAATAAAATCCTTTGCATCGGAGCTGACAACATCCCAATACCTTAAGATGACGGCGGTCCTTGAGAAATTCATGTATGTAGGAACAACGCTGGTCGAAGCTGTGGGTCGAATTTGTAGCTTGCTTCTTTTATGCGCCTGAACAGCTCTGCTTGATTATCATCATGAAAGGGTGGATATCCGCCTGGGATGACGCTCGGTGCAGATTCTTGGTCAAGTGTAAAACATACCAAGAAGAACAAAAGTAAGAACACCCAATGACCACATGTCGACAGCACAACCATACTGTTTGTTTTCTAGAATCTCTGGTGCCACATAATTTGGGGTACCACATTGTGTCGAGAGGCAGCCGTCTGTGACAATTGCAGCAAATCCAAAATCAGCAACTTTCAATTCATGATCATCCTTCGTAGACTTCAATAGCAGATTTTCCGGTTTCAAATCACGGTGCACCTGAGTGAGGCAAAGTCTTATCTAAGGAGGCGTTCGCCATGGAGATACTATGTTCTTGGAGTGAAGATGGCAGATGACATCAAGCCTACGTCAATCCTCGTCAACGGATGATGCCCACCCGATATAGTACAGAATTTGGATGACTTTGCGCGCTTCGTGTTCGGAGTAGTAAGTGCGTTGGACTATGCGATCGAAGAGCTCGCCTCCATTGAGTATTTCAGTAACAATGTAGGCTTTAGGAGCTTGATTATTCGAAGTTCTCGGGTCCTCGTAAAAATTTCTAAGGTTTAGTACCTATGCAGAACCTATGAAGTTGGGCTGTACTGTTGTCTATCACATTTGGGTGCCTGATTCGTTCCAGGATTCCCACCTCAATGTGGAGCGCTTCGACCTCATCCGCAGCCATTTCCCTCAGCTTTATCACCTTCGCTGCACATTCTTCTTGACTATCCTTGTCAACACATCTGTAAACCGTCGAGTATGCTCCGGATCCGAGCATTTCCGCGGCTGTGAAGGAGCATTCGTACTTCGCGAGAAAGGCAACTGTCCCTGGACCATCTCGCGCGGTCACATCCTTATCGAAACCAACCATTTCTCGATAATTGTCCGACCGAACCTTGCCATTTTTGGACCCACAGGTTCCCATGACATAATAAAAAACGATAATAGCGTAGGATAAATAGTCGCGGTGGAGTCTCCAAATCAATGCCGCTGGATGGGTCTTAAAAAAGATCTTAAACGAGCGCAGAAATAGGATTTCCGTCCGCTTGGCCTTTCGTATCTCCCACTAGCCTACGATTTTGCCTGCGTTCGCTGTGGTAAGGTCCTGGACGATCTCCTGAAGGAGCGTGTCGAGATCTGCTTTATACCGGCTCCACGCCCCTTCGTAGGTCTTCTTCACCCACTCCAAGGGGTACTTGCCAGTAAACTCCTCGTGCAGGTACACTAAGAAACTTCACAATGTAGCGAATAACACCAGGTCCTGAGCCTTCTTCAGTCCCATGTCGAATCCTCCTATGCCACTAAAGAAAGCAGCTACTTTTTTGTAAGTAAGCGGAAGCCATAATAGTTTTTTCAATTTATGTTTTGTCGCCACAACGAGATGCACAGCCGCCCTCTCGTTAGAGTCGTCGTCTACGTTTAGGAGCTCGCCGGTCTGACCATCTGCGCTCCATCCCCGCTGAGGTGGCTGCGCCATCCAAGCGCGGTCCGTGGCTGAGGTGGCTGCGCCATCCAAGCGCGGTCCGTCGGCCTTCATTGTGGCACCTTTAACTGAAACTGAGCTCAGCCTCCCCCTTGCCAGTGAGGGGGGGGGGTTACTCTGCTTCCTTTAGCTCATGCTAGTGGGAGATACGAAAGGCCAAGTGGACGGAAACTGGACTAGAATGTATAAGGGGGGGGGGTTACTAGCAGGATCCGCAACAGGAGCCGCTGCATGTGCAGCCTCAGTGGGGGTAAGGCCAGGGTAAGGCGCACTACAATATCAAGATGCAGTTCACTAAGATGAGGGTAGAAACCCCTCTATCTCTCTACGATACCCTGGCGCCATGCGTGCGTGTATGGGGGTGCGCCTATGAAGATTCGTGTATGGGGAGCACCGAGCTATGCCCTATGGCCGACAAGCCCATGCGTTCGAGCGCTGCTGTGTTTTAGGGGCTTTGAGCCAGCACAACCTCGGGTAGCTTGAGCAAGACTGATGAAGTCAGTTGAGAGTTGGCCAGGCACAAAAAAATGTTCCATGGGCTGGCCAAATGCCTCTGAATAGTGACGTTCTCCTCGGGCGTTGCCACGTTCACTCATGCGAGACCAGAGTGGTAAGGCTCGGTCAACGACTCTACCAATGCGATCCACATGGGACTCGCGGGTGGAACCCAAAGAAACGTTAGCGTAGAGAGATTTCTCCATGACTTTAGAATGCGCTGGTTTGTTGCTCCAGCGCCTCGCGTATGAAACTTCACTAGCTGACATGTTCTTGGAATTCGAAAGACCACCAGAAGAAAAGGCTTCGGGTACGGGGATAACAGCCGGCGTAACAACGGCATTATCGGTGTATGCACCTTTACGCACGTTACCTCCAGTGACCGCAATACACTCCAGCTGCTTTGCCTTAGACGCAGTCGCAAAGTCACCAGAACGCATCATGGCTCTGTAAAGTGTGCCGTCATCCGGCGAAAGGCTATCAGCAAGAATAACGGGTGGGACTTCGGTGGAAAGTTGCGCAGTGGGCGAAATGGGTGAATTAGTGGCAGATTTGGCCAAAAATGGGCGATCCTTGTTAGAGAGTGCATCTCGCCGATGACCCATCGGACTTCGGAGGTCACCAGTCTGAGACTGCAGCGTATCACATTCAGTACCTAAACTATTGCTCTGAATGGCATCCTTGAGTAAGCTGTCGCCGCCGAGCATTAGCGCAGCTGTGTCAAAATTAATCTTGGGCTTTTTCGTATTCGCTCTATCATCATCTCGTCTGCGTTCTAGATCGCCGCGTCTTGACATTTCTATAGTATACTGCAAGTACTCTGCTTCGGTCGCGGCAGCTACAATCCCGTACTCTGCAATGACTCGCATTATTCGGTCTGCTGCCTCGCACCGCGCCTTTTCAAGCTTTGCCATCTCCACACGTTTCTGTTTCGGGTCTCGCGGCATGTTGTTGACCCGCGCCGACTCACGCTCGGACTCAGCATCAAGCTCACGCATGATCAGAGACATAAGGTGCGTGCAAGTATTTCGGCGCTGCTCCATGGAAGCCCTTTGTGATTTACTCCAAGCACCCTGCATCTTGAAGGATCGTTCGAGTCGGCGATTCTCCTGCGCAGCTACACGACCAGTAGTGGCATGTCGCTCATGTGTTGAAGTCACGTCAACCCAGTCCTTGTGTCCATGGACGTTGCGCTTACCCGCGCGTGGGTCTTTGCTGTAGTTGCGCAGGGTTTCTTTATTGCGTGCTTCGCCACGCATGGCGGAACGGTCAAAACAGTAGGCCGAACCTCGCTTGGTCACTTCGTCGAGGTCATCAACGTCTCCATCAAGAGCGCGCAAGTGACCGCGGTGACGATGTGCCTGTTGTGCAGAGGACGGTCGCTCAAGCTGTCTCTTAAAGTATTGTCGATCTTCTTCCCAAATATTCTCGGAGTAGTACCGTTGACCCTTAGTAGCATCAGGTACTAGGATCGATGGGGCAAAGTCAGGCACAATGCCCTTCAACTCCACCTGCAGGATTTCCATGGCCTTATGCAGGACAATGTGTAGATTCGCTTCTCCATGCGATCGAGCTGGGTAGGGCATACGCTCGCTCTTGAATGCGGTTGATCTCAACTTGGCTTCTCCTGCGGCGGTATAGTTTCTTCGAATTGCTGGCAAATACGGAATTTTGGGTCGGTCTGTCCATTGTTGGGACTTAAAATGATTGGCTGCACTTGCGACTGCACCTCTTGTAGCCAACTTTGCAGGTGCGAGGAGAAGGCTTGCCGTGGAAGCTTTTATCTTAACTTCCGGTTCAAATGATGTATATGTGTCACTCAGGAGGACGGTTGTATCCAGTTTTGGTTGCTTCCGGAGGGTCGAGGCTTTCATTGCTGGATCTGAGCTGAGCTCTTCTGGCGATGCCATTGCTGTCCACAAGAATCCACCTTCCCGAAGCTTAGTCGCACTGTCTAGCTGTGGTGGGCGTGACTCTGTGCGCTGGGCCTTGAGCGGCGCGTCATCACACCCTACACACGCTGGACAGGTGATCTCGAACAATCCTACAGCACCACAGCCCTCGCAATGAACCCCACTCTGACCACGCATTGCTCGCAGGGATGCGCCTACAATGTTTTATATCAGAGCTGCCAATGCGGTGTATGACTCTGTGCACGCCCACATAGGGCGTTAAAAGCAACGATCGTTATCATCTAGATCACACCAGTTGCGGGCTAGAAGTTTTCGAAGATGGGGAGGGGTAGGTAAAGCTACGCGTTCCGCGACATACTGCGTAATCCACTTTGCACCTGCCTCTGCTCTCAGGAGCTCCGAATGCCCCACCGTCGCAACCTCCAGGGCTTCCCTAGCGCGTTGCAAAGCAAATGCTGCTGCCTTGTAGCCTCTACATGCTGCCACTTCGGCGCGAAGGGCGGCGAGCCGGTGAGATGTACAGCCCAGAATAGTCGCAAATGCCAATGATCGTGTGGCTTGCATCGCTCTGCGCTTCACGCTCGCAGCTATGATTTTATACTCTGAAGCGCGCGCGCAAAGGCGTAGCTTTTCTTCGCCCATCAGCCGCTGACGCGCCATGGCTTGTATAAGGCTCGCTGCTGCGAACACATCACTCATTCTATACTGCTTTAACGCTAAACACAGATTTCCGTCCGCTTAGGTGACGGGCAACTCTACCGTACCAGGTTAATTATCGAATCTTTTCCAATGGAACAATTCCCAAGTAAAACATCATTGCTCACAACATCCCCTGTGCAGCGTAGGGTCCACGAAGTTCTATCCGAATCCTCAAAACATCAGCAAGAAGCCTCCGAAAGGAGCAAATACCTGTTCGAAATGTCCTTGCAGCAGCACTACATCACCAGGGTCGACAGGCTAAAGCTAAGACTAATCACAGAGCAAGACTACATTGCAAACAACGCAACTCGTGATATCTTTAGGATGTTGTCCGGAGAAAGTAAGACATAATGTAGGAGAGCATAACTCAAATCCTTCTGCATAGTTAGTCGTGCAGCTCATGAATACGATTCGCAATCAAAAATGGAAGTGGCATTGACCTCTAAGTTCCGCGGCCTCGTCGAAAATCTGCGCGAACGTTGGAAAACGGAGGACTTAGATTCTACCTGCTCAGTCAAGAAGCGGTTGAGACTGCAATACGTTACGGTTATCAAGCAAATGCGCACACAATTAATGATAGTGCGCCACTAGAGCCCACTCAGCTTTGCAAATCATGATGCAATCTGGTAGGCACAGGCATTACAATCTGAAATTGGTAGAGATATTGCCGATTCCACAACTTCCCACTTCAAGTGCGCAGCTGAGTTTGTTTGTAAACCCAATTTGTGCTCCGTACCTGTGATGCAGACGGGCCTGTCTTTGGCTCGCCTAGGCGGCCCGGCTCATCACAGCCGGCTGTGGCGCGCGAGACAATTATGTTCCAAATGGAGGGTCGACCTGCAGTCATCTCTTCTAGGTCAGACAGCCTAGACTGCTAGGGATGATCACAAAAAAATGATCCAAAACTGATCGTCGTATGCGCCATTGCTTTGTAGTCCCTGCATGCACCCCTCCCCCTGAATTTGAAGTTGCTCGATGTACACTCAGTAGGGTTTACCTCGATGTACACTCAGTAGGGTGCACAGCCACGGTCCATGTCCTTGAGGCAGCCACACACTTTTTTCTCCGCAGTTTATGCCAAGGGGCTTTTTTGGTCTGCAGTTGAAAAGTGGCTGATTGCCGCTGGGGGAGGCCAAGCATAGTCTAAAGAGCCCACAGGGCAGCGCGGAGAGAACGCCGGAGCTTTAGCTAGGCCCGGTGGTGAAATTAAGAGCACCTAGGCGGACCGGGGGGCAACACCGCTCAAGCACAATCAAGGACAAAAACAAACTCTGAAAACGAATAACCCAAGGTGATACTTCCCTTCAAGTATTTTTTTGTTGAACATTTAATTACGACTCCCAACCCGAACCGGCGACCCCACACCCTGAAACTGTCTCAAATGATACGATTAGCGCGCTAACTCAACGTGCGCGCCTGGCGGGGGCAATAATTCAACGATTTTGCCAACATTTCGGTTCGGCGGTCGACCCGCGCGCGCGCGGTCGACGGAGGACCTCTATGACATACTACGGCCGGCGGCCAGGAATAATAAATAAATACTTCTATGGGCGCGCCCAGCCCTATGGTTGTTTTTGTCCTTGAGCACAATGAGCTTGAAGTAAGAACGGAGGCCTTACGGAGGCCCGACGCCCCCCGAGCGGCACCCACGCGGGCCTATGGGCTAAGGAAGTCGTCTAAGCGTCCCGGGGCGTCCTGGTGACCGCGCTGGCGCACGGGGCGTCGGGTGTGAGCTCGTCGAGCAGCCGCGAGAACGCGGCGCGCGCGCGTCTACGGGCAAGCGCAGGTGGCGTCGATGGCGGCTACGGTTGAGGCGCTTCGTCGTGCGGTCCCGCTCCTCGCGCGTGGGCCGGTTGCACGGGTGGCCCGCCCCGACCCCCGACGGCGAGATGTCATCTCGGCAGCGGTGCGCTCCTCGGGCGCGTGCAGCGGCGAGGGCGTGGTGCCGTGTACCCCCCGGGCAGTGCGCAAAACAACCGACGACTAGGCCGACCCGTACGAAATAAGAAAGTAATGTTTATTAATTAAATCCGGCCAGCGGCCGGAGGGACGTGTACTACACCTCCTGAAAATTTGCCGCGCGCGCGCACGTGCGCGGGTCTAGTGCGGGTTGAAAGTCAACTTTTCGCGAAAAACGACCCTCGAGTGTCTCAAAATGTACGACGCTACCGCACTCACAACGCCAGCCCCGGCGAAAGGACCCCACTTTCGAGCGGTTTACGACCCCCTAACTTCAACTTGGCAACTTTTATGTCGAACTTGGCAACTAACCAAGCTGAACTTCAAGATACAAAACCCCCAGGCCCTTCGTTTCAAGGGTTTGTTTTGCGCACTGCCCCCGGGTAGGCCCTCTAGCTTTAACCTCTCCTAGCCTAGCTCCAGATTTCTGTTGCAGACCAAGCTCGACAGCACCACTCGCAACGCCTCTCGCAGGGCGACGCCCTGCTAAATTCGGTCATGCATACTTTACTGCAACAAAAACCGCGGCGTCACCCAGTTTCGGCCGCCGTTTCCGGGCCGGCAGGCCCGCGCGCGCGCGTCGCGCGACCGCGGGCGCGTCGCGCGACCGCGGGCGCGTCGACCGCGCCGACGAAGCGGGTACCACGACCGGCCCACAGGCCGCCGCCGGGCCCGGGACGAACCCGGGCGCCCGGCCGGACCGCCGGGGCCGTCTCCTCGTCCGGCCAGGCCCTACTCACGCCCATTCCACGCCCCGGCTTGAACGGTGTTGCCCCTCGGTCAATATAAGGTACCGCACTGCCGATTAACGCATTCAAGCACAATGGAAGAGTTAAAGTCCCATGGCTTTTGCCTGGCGCACAATCCCTACACCAACTCAGCTTGCTACGGGCCTTGGCTAAGCGGGCACTTCCCTGAGTTAAGTGTTGCGGGACTCCGCGTCGTTGCGCCTGCGGAGTTCGTCTTAGTCCTAAGCGCCTGGCGCCCTGCGGATTTGTTTGTGCAACACGGTCATAACAGCGATGGATTGAACGTAAAGCCTTGAAAATGTTGCGCATTCTTGTGCCTGCTAGCGGAATGGTCAATTGAATCCTCCGGCTTTGCAGAGAGATAGTTCTTTGGTACGTATTTGGTATCCTCTTCGTTGGAAACTTCAGGCACGAAGGGTGGTGAGATTTCGCGCCTACAGTGCACAGATACATAGATCTGGTTACCGTGCACGCCGCTACCGACATGAGAAGCTTCTGGAAATTCATTGGGGTAAAAAAAACGGCCAATTTTATTTCATGGGCCCCATTCATGCCTAGGCGCTGGCCTGGATCTTTATGTAGGAGCTTGAGCAAGACTGCTTTTGAAGCATCGGAGAAGTGAGGGGGGAAATTTGGTTCGAGATTGATGATGCCATGAAACATAAGTTTGCGATTCTTGTCATAAAAAGGTGTACGGAAGCCCATCATTTCATATAACAGTATGCCAAATGACCACCAGTCCACGCAGGCACCATACTTCTGGCCCTTGAGGAGCTCGGGCGCAATATATTCGGCGGTGCCACAGAAAGTTGTCAATTGAGAAGTAAAAACCTATCAGTCGGCAAAATCAATTTTCTGTTTGGTTGTTGACACGGTGATGATGTGACATCCGTGACATTTTCTTTTGACAATCCGAAGTCGGTGAGTGCCACGTGTCCAACATGATCCATGAGGATATTTTCGAGCTTTAGATCACGATAAATGATCCCTGAATTGTGAAGATGGTCAAGTGCGAGCACAAGCTCAGCCTATGAGGCACATGTCTCAGAAATTCCGCACGGTCACTTCAAATGTTGCAGCGTTTATGACAGCGTAGAACCGGGCACGGGTCTCAGAAAATCCGCGACTCTTGCGCAGATGGTAGAATAGAGAACCACCGTTATAATAATCTGTGACAAGATATAATTTTTCTTCTGATTGAAACGCGTAGCGCAGCCGCACAATATACGGATGTCGAATCTCGCAGAGAATTGAACGCTCGGAGCGGGTATGTTCCGTCTGTCCCTTCGCAGCAATGACTGATTTCTTGAGGACCTTCATTGCAAATACGCGCGACGCATCCTAATATGCTAAATATTGATAATATTGATAAAAATGACTGGAATCGTTTTGTGTAAGACACACTGTCATCCTAACCTGGCCATCTTTCTTGCGGACGAGCATCACCTTCCCAAATGCGCCCTTGCCGACCACGCGTAGTAAGTCAAAGTCCGACACGCTGAGGGAGCTCGAAACCACATGCTTTTGTACGCCCGATTTCTTGGATGGCCCGCTTCGAATCGTGTAGTGGCTACCAAATAAACGACTAAGAAGACCAACATGTACGCGTCTCGGAGTTTGAGTTGGGCTGGTGGCTGCGTTGCGGGCCTTGCCACCTTCAATACAGGTCAGGGAGCTGTCGATGTTTGCAGCTTTGGCTTCTGCAACAGCAAATGCCGCGCCAAGCTCTGTTGCTGCCGCAGGCGGCCTTGTCGCGAAATCGAAAAAGCGCCATACACTGTCCAGTGCACGACCCACCGAAGAGGCGACGTTTGGCGCAATCAAATTTGCACCAACCTCAGAACCGACCGATATACACGCACAGCCTAATTTCGCTTCAGCACCAAGTAGCCGTACTGGATACCCAACAGACTCGTGGCCCTCATAGGCCAGTGCCAATGCCCTGAGAGCGGCCTTTGTGGCCGCATCCTGCGCGGGAAAGCATCACATTCAGTGCTTCATTCATTTGAACTTGAGAATCCCCAACCCTCACGACGGCGGCTTCACACATTATCACCCCCGGACTCTCCACCGTCAACAAGCTGGGATGGTTCGATGCACGCAATCGCCCGGATGCGCATCGATTCATTCGGATTCTCTGCACAACGAACCATCTGGCGTTGTACCTAAACTGACAATAACTTACAATGACAATAGTAATTCTGATTAGCACTCTGAACTTTGCAATATCGACCGCAAGAGAAGAACCATTGCCATGTGTCAGCAGATATACAGAGCGTAAATGCGTGCATGGCGCAACAAGATTGTCCCAGACGTATAGGGCGTGGTTTTCAGGTGAAAAAGAATTTGCAATGGCACGTCGGCTGCCTTGCACTGACGTTACCTACATGATTCTATATGTGTATCGCGATTAACTGTAAAAATATACCGAATTCGTGTTCGGATTGAGCACCGCTACTGCATAGCCCGAGGACACTGCATGCTCAATTGCTGCGATCATACTTCCTGCGTGCAAACCCCGGGTGAGGCATAAAGATCGACTCCAAAGGCCTGGTTTTGATCCAACCTATCGGGGGTTGAGCTTGGTACCACACGTGCAGGTGGAGATCATCTTGCCTGGTTCTGCAAGATAATCAAGAGCTTGGTCGATGTATTCAAGTCGCTCATGAAGATATTGCAGCGTGCCTCATATTCATTGTCAGGAATCCAAAGCTCGGCGAGACCGAGCGACAACATCTTTGCCTAATTTCAGAGGGAATTGCTGCACTGATAAATGAGTGGTCAACACCTGTATGTATGACGTGACCGCTTCAAGTACGCTACAAGACTCAACATTTCTCTCTTCGGCAGACGGTGGTACCGGTATACCAGGCTTCCGGGATAGGACCCCCGTTTTATCATCGAGATCATAAAGGTCGTGGCTAAACGTGATGCTGGTGAATTCCATTGTTAATAAACCGATTTTTCAGATGCTCCCAAGTATATCTCAATCGGATGTCCGGCAGGGGTCGGGGCATCCCCTGGACACGCGGAAGCCCCCCCCCCCCCCCCGAGCGCCCCTGCTCATACGGGCCCAAAGGTCGCAAAAAGACCCCCTATGCACGAGAGGCGACTCTTACCCCGCTGAAGACAGGGCGAGCCCTGCCTGAACTAAAGCAGCCATTGTACAACAGCCTCCCCTGGCATGTAACTAGCCCAACCTTCGTCTGCCGCCGGGGGGGGGGGGCGAGGCATGGTCTTTGCTTGCCAGGCACCTTCGGAATTCCGAATCTCTTGTGATGCATAGCACCGTAGTCCATTTCAAAGCCTGCATAATGTGCTTTGACATATCAGGCCTTCACATGCGTAATAGCCATGATATGGGTCAATGCGAGCAAGAGTGAACGATAGATAGATAGTAAGTGCCCTCTCACATGATGGAACATTCAGCGCTTGAAGGCGCTATTTGTGATGCTTAGGAGAAACATGAGTGGCTAGCCATTCTAGTCCCTCGTCAATGCCAATACCCGTGAGTGCGTTGCTGGGCCTACGATTTGATTGAAGTCTGTGGGCACTTCCAAATGTATGGCGCTTCAAGCAAACGTGATGTGCCACGGCCGATCTGAAATTCTTTCGAGTTCAAGTTGCTGACTGCACTCCACTGGTGTGAGAGCACCGGACACATCCATCTTATTGGAGAATATAATTATAGGGAGTGGCCTCCCCTTGACATCCGGGTGCTTGAGAAGCTCTTCCAACTCGTTCTTTGCCACGCACATACGAATCCTATCACGAGTGATGTCGAAATAAGATACATCTCAAGTGACCTGCCTGTCCGATGAGTCCACGACAAAAATGATGGCCTCAACCCCTGAATAGTAATGCTCCCAAAGAGATCGATAGCGCGATTGGCCTGACATGTCAAAGCACGTGAAGGAGAGATTGTTTACCTATTCTGCTACGTGTGACGTGAGTGAGAGACGGGATGCAAGTGTTTGGGGTGGTGTTGGTGGTGGGAATCAATGCTTGCCCGGAATTCCTCCGTTTGAAAACCCACGGTTGGTGTTGCCTCAAATAGTTCTTTATCTCGAATCTGCAAGCGGCAGGTTTGATCCATTTATTTGTCTCCGTTACCTTCTGTGGTTTCATGTGTTGAATAAGTGATGACTTTCCACTGTTGTCCAATCCAAGTACGAGTATGTGCACCTCCTGTTTTTTGTACAACGCATTCGAAAGGCGCCTCAACATATTTGAAGATCTCAACGGAAACCCATAGTTGGAGGTGAAAGGGGGGTTAGGGAGAATATGTATTCTGGGCGATGACGCTGGGGTTCCGTCCACTTGGCCTTTCGTATCTCCCACTAGCCTGAAGCTAGAGGTAGCAAGGTAAACTCCCCCCTCGAAGGGAGGCCGAGCCCAACTAAACTAGGAGTGCCAGAATGAAGGCCGGCGGACCGCGCTTTGAGCATCGTATAGACACTAGTATCAGAATTACATCGATACTGCCACTGGCAGTGACCAGGACTCTAACTGAATCGTCGTCCAGGACAATTGTCTCTTTGAGTATCTCTCTTTCATTTGGTTCTGCAGTGTGTCATATGCTGTTCTCCCGAATAGAATGGCCCGTGTGCCTATGTACACGTAATAGTGACCTCTTTCACCATGTGTTTCAATGCTGGTTGCAGAGCGCGAAACGCGAACATCAACTTGACGTTAAGGTACAGTCCGCAAAAGCAGGATGGGCGTAGTGGGCGAGAGATTCGAAGCTCAGTGTGCTACCTTACGGTAGCGTAGTTGTCATAAGTGTAGCTGGTCCTAAAGGAGGGGAACGGGAAGGAGAGCCTTGTCAACCATAGTTAAACCGGCGCGATTTATTTTTGTGTACTCCGTATCCAACGGCTGCACTCTGGCTTATTGGTCTCCCCCCCAAGTATCATGCCATGGCTTATTGGTCTCCCAGTCACCTGAGCTCAGCCTTTCTATTGTCAGGGGGTGGACTCTTCAGTTCGACGTCCCTTCGTGATCAGGCTAGTAAGACCGGACGGCCACACACCATTTATTTTACCATTCTTTACTCCCTATGCTCGCCTGGTGTGTCGAAACCAGAGTGCTAGCACAGCGCGCTATCCTGGCTGAGACCAGATCGAAGGTATGATTGTGCCCGAAATCAGCATAATATTTCTCTACAGACCGACAGACGATACCATGATGAAATATTGTTAACCCGACAAGAAGCCAAGAACAGTTTGCATGTAGACTTATTGCAGAGACGTGGTGCATTGGAACAGCTCCGAGCGCGATTACTAACTTCGAATGACGGTAAGACAGCCCTGTTAGAGGTCCCCCATAGAATCGCTGTCTAGATGTAAATGAACATCATCTGGGCGTCCGACGCTTTAATGAGGATCTCACTGCTTTTCGAAAAAAATTGCGATTGGACTTCGAGGAGCTCGGCGAAACCCGTGTAACTGGGGTGGGTTAGGGAGGGGGAGCAGCATTTCGTTGGGGGGAGGCAGCGTTTTGTTGGCCAGGTCGCAAAGAACTGATAATCGCACGGGAGCTTGAGCAAGCTGCGGCACGCTTCGAAATGTGGGAACTAGAGGAAACGTCTCAACCAAAGTGCTGCGCATTCGTCGGACGGCTCGGGCGGCCTTTAGCGGCGTGCTACCGGGAGCCTCCTATTGGGAGATTTTGAAGCAGCACTTGATATAGGAAGTCCAAGGGCACGCTTAGTGGCAGCTCAGAGCAGTACCTTCAGAGGCTTCTGGGAGGTCCTATGCTTGGATGCTGTGAGAGCCGTGAAATAGTTACCGGGAAACGGTCAGGCACGGGGGAGACCGAGGAATCAGGTGCCGCCTCACTTCAACGGTGTGCGAGAAAGACGAGACCAAATCATCATGTTCAATCAGGAACTTTCAGGAGTGTTGTGCGATGCCTGGACGGGAAACAAAGCAAGGTCGAATCAGGCGAAAACAACAAGCAGCAAGCGGGCGATACACGGCAGGAGGTGCGGCAGGAGGTGCGGCTAAAAGTCAAGTTTTGGCCAAAAGCGAAGGACTATCACGCTGCCAAGAAGGCTTATGTCATTCAGCATGCGATACGGTCCGCGATCAAAACAGTAGACTCTCGCCGTGAGGAAGCCATTGATGTTGATAGCGTGGAGCAGACGCAAACCGTCATTCAAGCGCGCACCCATGAAGAATTGAGAGCCGCTCAACTTCGCAGCGACAAGCGCAAATGCAGCCAATCCAAGTCGAAGTCTCGGGAAAATCGCTTAAAGCAAATCGCTACCATGACTCCCCAGCGCCTCAAGTCTAGCATAGAATCACCGACTGCAAACTTTCTTCAGGGAACATCCTCCTCCAAAGGACGTGAAGCTACCGTCAATAATGTCAAGCAGAGCCAGCAGCCTGAATCTGCGCACGACAGAGCTCTTGCCGGCAGTGCCCTTGACTTTTGTGCGGTGAGGCGTTCGCGAGCAAGTTGGCGTCAACTCATAACGACTCCGTCGAGTGTGAATAACCCTGCTTGGAACTAGAAAGATAACCGCACGCGCAAAGTCTGATAGCTCCCAGGCCCAGGCTGGACCACCCTTCGTCCCATCGCAAGGCTGCTAAGACCATAACCCGCCCGCCTGATCCTGCTTTCTGCTGCAGGTCGACACACCGGCTGGTCGATAGACAGCTGGATGCTGGTTCGTGATTTGCAGACGTACCAGGCACAGGCCTAATCTAGAGCGCACTAGAAGCAGCCCGTGTGTGAATAAATAGGCGTTTTTTACACCAAAAATGTTATCCTTGCTTCCTTTAGCTTCAGGCTAGTGGTAGGGGGGGTCACTGAGCCCGGGCGCTCTCCGGGCTCCGCTCCGCCTCCGCTGGCGCCTGGTTTTGGGGAGGTGTCGCTGGAGCGACTTCCGGGATTTTGGGGGACGCGAAAATTAGGGGAACTGCGTGGGGCGTCGCCCCACGGCGAATGCGCCGGTTTAGGGCTCCCCAAAAACTCGCCCCGGCCGGAATGGGTCACAGTGCCCTGCACTGACGGACCAGAGGAGAGCGTTTTGCGAGAGCTGGGCTGCCCCGTGTCGCCGCCCGTCGGCCCGGCTGTGCGCCTCCGGGCGTTTGTATTCGGTTCCCCGCGCCTTGCGCCGGCCCGAGTGGCCGCAGCAACCGCAGCGCTGCTCGTCGGCGCTTAAAACTCGCTCTGCAAGAGAGAGACTTTGCTGGGTAGGACAAAAACAAACTCTGAAAACGAATAACCCAAGGTGATACTTCCCTTCAAGTATTCGTTTTGTTGAACATTTAATTACGACTCCCCACCCGAACCGGCGACCCCACACCCTGAAACTGTCTCAATGCACGCGCCTGGCGGGGGCGGTAATTCAATGATTTTGCCAGCATTTCAGTTCGGCGGTCGACCCGCGCGCGTGTGGTCGACGGAGGACCTCTATGACATACTACGGCCGGCGGCCAGAAATAATAAATAAATACTTCTATGGCCGCGGCTAGCCCTATGGTTGTTTTTGTCCTTGAGTTCTCGGGGCCGGTCGCCTGGAGTTGCTCCACCTAGACCGCAAGTCTGCAGACGAGCCTACGCGCATTCCCAAGGAAGACAAACCACAAAGGCGCGACCTTGTCGACTACCCTTTAGAAAGTGGCTCCCAATGCCTTCCTTCCGGGCGAACAGGATCCGCCCCGGAGGCGCTGCCCCGAGATGACGTCCAGGCCGTGAGGCGCGCTTATTTTTCTCGCTCGGCAATTCCGAGGCATGCGTTTTTGCTGAATATATCCTCCTGCTGAAGTCCTCAGTGGTTGCGACGAGCACCAGACAGGATTACCGCACGCAGTTTCCCCGCAGGCTAATGCGGCCGCTGCCGCACGAGGTGGCTCACGGCTGTGGCGCTCTAAGATGGGGTAAAAAATAGGCATATGGGCGTATCCGGGGGCAGGAGATGGCTGGCTGCTTGTTTTCGGTGGACAATCGGAGCAATGAGCCTGGGCTGACACAGAGCCTATCTCGATCCTTGGCGTGGAATATCGTGTATTTTGTATCAAGCAAGAGGCAAATGACACTGGACAACTGTTTTACTTGGCCGGCTTATCAAGGCCGGGTGTTACACCTAGTAGAGGCATGTATATGTTATATTTT